GGGACACTGCTCACACAATTTATGAATGGGAAGCTTCAGGCGAGGCTGGTATGTTGACATTAATTGTAAGGCTGGGGTATGTTGACATTGTTATGGGCGGTCGGTCGCTTAGTCTCTCTGCTATACATTAGCTATGAATAAAACTGCTTCGACATATATTTCCAATAAAACATTTTCCTCGTCAAACAATTTTCCATGATAAACTCTGTCTCTCTTCGAATTAAGCGTGAGTATTGTAAACATGGAAATGTCCTATAGATTGCTTCCATCACTTTCCCAACAAACCTAGCTTCGTGCCGTCACACGAGTACATGTACTTATCAGTTTTCTATCTATTTTCAAAATAGCACGTTCTGAAGTAAAACTGTGCACATCATGTTACACGGTTAAAACTCAAACCGTAGGGCTTATTTGTCATTGCGTTAAATGGAAAAGCTAGCATTGAAATATCAACTATGCAAGTCGGGACAGGGTTGAATAATTCTTTACAAATGGTTCACAATATTATGCAGCGCGTGGTGATTCGAAATCCGGTTGCCTTCAGCGTTATAGTCAATGCAGGGTGACGTGACTACCTCGTTGTTGCGCGCTAAATGTAATTAAACGACACTGCTAGCTTGCTGATTGCGAAGTCTTATCTATTTTGTCTATATATATTTTTTTTTCTATACAGGTTGTCTAACGTTCATGGTGTACAACGTGTAGACCGTACAAGTTGAATTTGATCCAGCTAGACGTACATTTTTTATTCCTACATTACCCGGCGTATATCGTGTTGACATAACCCGTCTCTATTGTGGTATAATGTACTTTCAACACACACCCTGTATTCATCAAACCAGGTCGCACGCTCTAGCGAGCGCGGGTTATTCGAATATATGTCCACGTGAGTTGTCAAGCGCGCTCAATTCAAACTGGGCTGACGGGTACGGTCTGTCTATTTAGGGCAGCACGCTATACGCATAGCTCTATTCATAACCTTTTACTTTGGTTTTCTTATGAATTCTTTTCTGCCTTATAAACACACACCTTTCATTCCCCACCCTTTCCCGACGCGCTGTTGATGCATGAGTCATCCTATCCGAACACGTGACTTGGATCAACCAATCACCTTCCCTATTTTCACTCAACCTCCCTCAACCAAAACCAGCTCCTGCCTAGTGACACTATACTACTTACCCCGCCATGAACAATACAGGCTGCGCGTAGATTACTGAGCCAGAATAAATCCCTTATACCCATATTCGAAGCATGAATGAAAGTCACGTGACATTGCACAAGTTGACCTCCACTCAATCAAACAGCTGTTTTCTATCAATTTGGAATTTGTTTGAATTATTTTACAATGTCATACGAAAACATGTCGGTGAGAGAAATTCGTTGTCGTAGGATTACTCGGGGTATATGGCTTTTTTATGTGCCCCTCGTTTCGTTTGATAACCTAACGCGGGAGACATTAAACCTCGTGTACTCCTCGGGATACTGCTACAAGTTATAATATTTCCTGCAAATCTCCGTCATATGGATGTAATATTACTCACTATATACCTCCAGTCCTGTTTACAGACCTTAAATATCACGACATTCCCCTGTGGAGGACGTCATTATATAATTGTGAGTTTACAAATGTGATTGTGTAAACATTCACTGAAAGGGCTGCAGCAATCAGTGGAGGGTGTCCTCAATCTGTTCACTGTCTTGTGTGCTGCGTGTTGACACTGTGCGTCGACTCGGCTCTGCATTGAGTACACACTCTTGTTGACCTCAGACAGCATTCCTTACCAGAAACTTAGTCTTCCTTCACGAACAATCCCAAATCCTGCCTGAGAGTGGCTGGGTGAGTGAGTTGGTAGGGTGTGTGTGTGTTGGTCACATGCTTTCCGTAAGAGGCGGCTATGCTTGTCGAAAGAGGCGACAAACGGGATCGGGTGGTCAGGCTCGTTGACTTGGTTGATGGATCGATGCTCATGATGTCAATCATGTGTTTGTCTGGTCCAGATTCGATTATTTACAGACCGCCGTCATATAGCTGTAGTGTTGCTGAGTGCGGCGTTAAACAACGGACAGCCAAACAAAAACTACAACTAAACTGGAGACAACCCTTATGTACGTGACTTGCTGGTACCAGCTGGGTGCAATTACACATACCTTGGGTGGGCAGTGTTCTGCCTTCTGTATTGTAGTGGGGCGGTGGGGTAGCCTTGTGGTTAAAGCGTTCGCTCGTCACGCCGAAGACCCGGGTTCGATTGCCCACATGGGTACAATGTGTGAAGCCCATTTCTGGTGTCCCCCGCCTTGAAAATGCTGGAATATTGCTAAAAGCGGCGTAAAACAGTACTCACACATTGTATTGTATGGATTAAAAGTGATATTCGTGTTAAGCTCATCTGCTGAATTTCCTGAAGTCTGCTTTGACAAGCTGGTACATAATGATCTTATGACACTGATAAGAAGACATTCCTTTCTCGCCCATGTGTAGATCTGCTGGTTTTCCAGAGGTGTACAGGTACGGGGCAGCTGTCACATTATATACCTTTTCATCTTGGTTTACCCTTTAGTGCACATTGTGTGTGTGACGGTCGCTACCGGTGGGACAGGACATGTTTACACTATTCGAGAACACCTGGAGTCTTCGCTGATTTTCAGTGATCAATTCATATACTTTTCACCGCTATTTGCGTTTTACGCCCAAATATATCTGCTTAAGCAGATAATCGAGACTGCCTTTTCTTTGGCGTTGACACTTTATATTTAACATTCCACAATCATGAATGATCCAAACAAGAGAGGATCCTGTCTGCAGTTGACCACATCTTGTATACCGGATTTAGTGTTTGTTGTTTTACACCGCACTCGGGAACATCTCCGCTATATGCCTCTAAATTTTCCTTCTTTTTGTTGATCTTGTTGTTGAACGCCGTTCTCAGCAATATTTCAGGTATATGAAGGCGGTCTAAAAAATAGTCTGGACCAGACAATCCATCTTATTGGCATCATGTGTTCAAATCTTCACTGACTGACGTCCACAAAACTCTAAGCACGTCGAACTGCAAAGGTATTAATAAGACATAAAGACACCTTGCTTGCCATGTGTTTCCATAGTCCATGATGGGATATTTCTAACTGCAATTAAACTCTCTCTCTCTCTCTCTCTCTCTCTCTCTCTCTCTCTCTCTCTCTCTCTCTCTCTCTCTCTCTCTCACCGCCTGAAGCCCAAAGTGATGCAGATCTCAGACGTTTACCACTTCACGAGCACGGGTATGGTGCTGACAAACCTAGAAACATAATAATCGGGGCGAACCGGGATTCGAACCCCCAATCATAAGTTTCTCGCGGCGTCTTAGACGACTGGGCCACCCGTGTCCCCCAATGGTATTGTGATGCAAGCACCGACATCATCTGAAACCTGTACAGAGAACACGTTGCCCGTTTCACGTGCTTCCGTCACAATAGTACACACTGGACGGAGTTGGTCGTGCCAGTCGGGAACAGCTGATTCCCTGAAGTGTGTCAGAATAATGTGATAATTGAGTTGGTTTCTTGAGTGAGGATATAGAGCATTATTATAGAGAAGGCCCTGGTTACAATAACCAGGACTTTCAAGTTTCAGGGTGAGGTGTCCTGCTGTTACCCCACTGGTTTCAAGCTCAATTCATTGAGATTAATAGAGAATAATAGAGGACTTAATGCACACCCTTGTCGCACACCGAGCGGACACTCAAATCTAGTCAGAATAGTGTATGTGTGTGAAGGTCTTTGGCCCATATACAAGAACTACAATGCCACTGATACAATGGTAAACATAGTACATGGACTTTTAGCGTCGTATTGGTTTTTCGAATGCACACTAGACATACTATTGCAGATGTTTTAATAACAAACTTTTGAATTTATAAATAGTTTGAAATTTCCAATACCGTTCTCGGAAATAAACTTCACGCACCTCCATGAAATGTTTGAGTGGTAGTACAACATTCAATGCCAGTATCAAATACAAAATAGGACGGCAGTGGCGATATCAAAAAGTTCAGAGATAATAAAAATCACCTATCCGCAACAGTGGTTGGACATAAGGAAATTGTCATCACAGATGTGAGTATGCCATGTTTCCGAACAGGTCGTTCCTGTGTGTAAGCAGTTCGCGCACACACTGCTTTACTTCGCGGAAATAGATCTAAAAAGCATGCATGTGTGCCACGTGTCGACAACCATGTCATTGTAATTCGGTTTGGCATTAGGATTAGGATAGGCAACACCGTTCGACAGACATTTAGTGATCTGGATAATAATAGAAATTTGGAAAAAAAGAAGAAACTTTGTAAATGTAAATTGAAGTACAACAGTAATTCTTGTCTGTAATAAAACCATCGTAAATAAATTAGTGTCTTTGCCTGTCTATTGCACTTCTTTTATTTCTGCTGACCAGTGGTCAAGCTTCCGAGAAGACCCAGACTGGACACCAAGGTGAAAAGTGATCTTCACATGAAAGCTGGTTTTGACGTAATGTCAGATGAAATGTAAGATGCGACAAGGACGCGCCCGCACCATTTATATTGTCTAAGCAGCTTCCAGCACTCTTCCACACAGTGCCAGACCAGTCCAGTGTGACTGGAATATCACATACTATTCCACATGTTTCCTTCACCTTGACATCTATGCATCCTATTCCGGAGATAATTCAACACAACCAATCTAATAGTTATAATCATTATTTAACGATAATTTACACTGCAAAAAAATAAATATAAAGAACTGTTCTCTCTAGTCGATACAGTGTGCTCTTACTGTTTGTAGACCCACCCATTAGCAAAAGTTGCTGGAGTCGTGTATTCCTTCCATGACACAAAGTACAGTCTTGTTCTTACTTTATGTAGACCCAATGGTTCCTGAAGGAAAGGCAACAAATCTCCCAAACGAATAGAATCATTTGGCCTTGATCCTTCCACGTGTCAATGGCTGCGTCCACGACTGTGGGATGTCGGAAACAGACTCAGTACATAGACGTATGCAATCAATACATTACTACGCTCTCTGTACAACCACCAGCGCGTGTAGGCCACGGGTGGATAAGCTGGCTTAACATGGGAGAACATTATATGTATTAGCCCTTGGCCCTACCACTGTCGAGACGTATGAGTGTTCGCGGGTGTGTCACCATGAACCGGTCTGCACGCTGTCGGGATGCGTGGGCAGCTGCATAGTGGATGCATGAAACACACACTGTGTCAAGTTGCACAGGGTCTATCCGCTGACGCGGTCATGTGTATGAGGAGAACTGAAACAAACAGTGTCCCGTGTGTGAGTCCAGCACCACTGTACATCATGTCACGGAGGAGACAACTGGGTGAGTAGATCTACTTCATGCAGACTTTTCTGTAGTGTAGAGGGTGGAAAAGGTTACTTCGTTACCCCGGGTACCTGGTAAGTAGCTTAAAGGCTTATTCATATCCACCCCAAACACAAACCAGCAACTATGATAACACGTACGTCACTTTGTAACTTGGTACATAACAAGGATATTACTTTGTTACTATGTAAATAACACTGATATCGCTATGTAACTATGTAAATAACACGGATATCACAATGCAATTATGGAAATAAAACAATAACTATAAAAAGGTACTAATAAATATGTAATAATAACACTTCAATCTATCAGTTGAGAAATATTGGAGACAAAATACTCTGGTAAAATTTGTCAGTAAAGTTAAGGTCATAAAAACAAAATGTTTCAATAAAACGATAGTGCGAAAAAGCATTTCAGTGCATGCGATCTTCTATACACGTTACGTAACCTCCCCGATGCTTCACCGAAGGGCAACGCGACAGCACCCTTTCCCTGGTCATGAGAAATCTCATCTGAATGACAACTACTGAACCCAAACAAAACGAGGACAGTGATTTGTGTCAGAGAGAAGAAAGTCCTCAATCCCATACCATACGCGGCGAACCGCGTTGTCTTCAACATTTGGCGATAATAGAGTGAGCGAGTGAGTTGGGTTTAACGCCGCTTTTAACAGTATTCCAGTTATATCCCGGCGTGTCAGCTTAATGTGGGAGGAAAGCCCGGAGTGATGCAGGTCTCAGACGTTTACCACTTCGGTGAAACCCACGAGCACGGGTATGGTGCTGACAAACCTAGAAACATAATCGGGGCGAACCGGGATTCGAACCCACAATAATAGGTTTCTGGCGTGCCCAAGGGACGTAACTCTGCACAGCGAATCGCGGTGCCTTAGACGACTGGGCCACCCGTGCCCCCTGGCGATAATGGAACGCAACTAATGACACAACGCAACGCATGGCGCAGAGCAACGCAACATGCAAAGCAACGCATAACGCAACGCAACGAATGACTCAACGCAACGCATGACGCAGAGCAACGCATGATGCAGAGCAACGCATGACACAGAGCAACGCATGGCGTAGAGCAACGCAACATGCAAAGCAATGCATAACGCAACGCAACGCATGACACAACGCAACGCAACGCAACGCATGACACAACGCAGCGCATGACGCAGAGCAACGCATGACACAAGGCAACGTTGGACGGGGCGTGATAATACACGAGATAACATACATGTACGATGTAATGTTGGTAATCTGCGCATCGACGACTCTTCTTCACTTTTTCTGCCTCATCGAAAGAGCAACGCATGACACAGAGCAACGCAAAACGCAACGCATGACACAACGCAAGGCATGGCGCAGAGCAACGCAACATGCAAAGCAACGCATAACGCAAGGCAAAGAATGACCCAACGCAACGCATGACGCAGAGCAACGCATGACACAGAGCAACGCATAACGCAACGCAACGCATGACACAACGCAACACATGACGTAGAGCAACGCATGGCGTAGAGCAACGCAACATGCAAAGCAACGCATAACGCAACGCAACGCATGACACAACGCAACGCATGACACAACGCAGCGCATGACGCAGAGCACCGCATGACGCAAAGCAACGCATGACGCAAGGCAACGTTGGACGCGGCGTGATAATACACGAGATAACATACATGTACGATGTAATGTTGGTAATCTGCGCATCCACGACTCTTCTTCACTTTTTCTGCCTCATCGACTCAGCGTGACGTCATGCCTCATTGACTATCGTGTTGTCTACCACCTTGTTACCGTACACACGCTCAGTAATTATTTCCGGTAGCCATTCCTTGATGTGATGTCAAAGGTCTCGTCCGTCGTTCGTCTCTGCAGGATGCAAGACCTCCGCGTTACAATAATAATATTGTCCCAATTTTCTTTTACATATTATTATGTGTTTGCTTGAATATGAAAATCACACAAAGACAGTTTAGTTTGGACAGGGAAGCTGTGGCTTTATACATTGATGTGAAACAGGATGTTTGGAGATATGAATGAGAATAGAATATTATTCAAGTTTCAGTTAGGATACACATGCATATTTCCGTCAAGCGAGTCGGAAGACATATTTTGTTATAAGTGTGGCTCTTGAATCTGAACCCCATGAGTACATTCACTGTGGTAAATAAGTCAAACACAACGCTAGCTAAAACACATTTAATGTTGTAAATAAGTCAAACACAACGCTAGCTACAACACATTTAATGTTGTAAATAAGTCAAACACAACGCTAGCTAAAACACATTTAATGTTGTAAATAAGTCAAACACAACGCTAGCTACAACACATTCACTGTTGTAAATAAGTCAAACACAACGCTAGCTACAACATATTCACTGTTGTAAATAAGTCAAACACAACGCTAGCTACAACATATTCACTGTTGTAAATAAGTCAAACACAACGCTAGCTACAACATATTCACTGTTGTAAATAAGTCAAACACAACGCTAGCTACAACACATTCACTGTTGTAAATAAGTCAAACACAACGCTAGCTACAACATATTCACTGTTGTAAATAAGTCAAACACAACGCTAGCTCCAACATATTTAATGTTGTACATAAGTCAAACACAACGCTAGCTGCAACACATTCACTGTTGTAAAAAAGTCAAACACAACGCTAGCTACAACACATTCACTGTTGTAATAAGTCAAACACAACGCTAGCTGCAACATATTTAATGTTGTAAATAAGTCAAACACAAAGCTAGCTGCAACATATTTAATGTTGTAAATAAGTCAAACACAACGCTAGCTACAACACAGTCACTGTTGTAAATAAGTCAAACCCAGCGCTAGCTGCAACACATTCGTTGTTGTAAATAAGTCAAACACAACGCTAGCTCCAACATATTCACTGTTGTAAATAAGTCAAACACAACGCTAGCTGCAACATATTTAATGTTGTAAATAAGTAAAACACAACGCTAGCTGCAACATATTTAATGTTGTAAATAAGTCAAACACAACGCTAGCTACAACATGTTTAATGTTGTAAATAAGTCAAACACAGCGCTAGCTGCAACACATTCACTGTTGTAAATAAGTCAAACACAACGCTAGCTACAACACATTCACTGTTGTAAATAAGTCAAACACAACGCTAGCTACAACACCTTTAATGTTGTAAATAAGTCAAACACAACGCTAGCTACAACACATTTAATGCTGTAAATAAGTCAAACACAACGCTAGCTACAACACCTTTAATGCTGTAAATAAGTCAAACACAACGCTAGCTACAACACATTTACTGTTGTAATAAGTCAAACACAACGCTAGCTACAATACACTTAATATTTTCTACGTTACTTTTACATTGCGTTTACACTCTTTTTAGTTTCATGCTGCCGCCAAGCCTGAAGGTAAACAATTCGTTTTAGCTCACCTGACCTGAGAGTTCACGCCGGATTGTGTCCGTCCGTCTGTCCGACCATCATGAACCGTTATATATTCCAATATGAAACCACAAGGCCTGTGATGCCTAACTTTGAAAGTGTCATCCCAGTTATGGTGTCTGTGTCGAATCCCGGTTCGCCCCGATTATGTTTCTAGGTTTGTCAGCACCGAACCCGTGCTCGTGGGTTTCACCGAAGTGGTAAACGTCCGAGACCTGCATCACTTCGGGCTTTCCTCCCACATTAAGCTGACACGCCGGGATATAACTGGAATACTGTTAAAAGCGGCGTTAAACTAAACCCACTCACTCATTATGGTGTCTGCTCACAGAATTCCGATCCAATGTTAAACATGGCCGCCTTGTCCGCCATTATTCGCCATTTTTCAACATGTATGCAGGAATCATGATAGTATCTGGTGTGCTGTCGGCATGTGGTGTCAATAAGCTTTCGTACACTTTCATTCATAGCCATGCTAATGCCATTATTGTGAAATAATCATGTTCTGTTGTAGTGAAACTGTTATTTATGTAAGCATATCCTTCTTTACCCTCTATCAAGAAATGTAAACCTAATGTTGCAAATATTTCCTGAAGGATTCCTGTGAGGTTCGCCCAGACTCTAGTATGTACAGGCCGCCGCTGGGAGACTGCTGACTGCCGGTGTCACGAAATATATTCGCCCCCAGAATAAAATCTCCCCCCGGCGAATTTATACCGGTACAGTTCCGCCCCTCTCGAAATAAACTCTCCCCCACCCTACGAAATAAAATCTCCCCCCAGAATATTTCCTCCCCAGGTCGTTTTATAAATACTTGCCATGCAGTTGCCAATAGTTTTAATGTTAATTTGTTTATGTGTTTTTTTATTCATTTTTTTTTTATCTCCTTTATTTTTTCTGAATTATACATTTAGTTACTTGTGTGGGGTGTGGGGTGGGGGGTGGGGGGTGTCCCACCTTTCCTTTCGTTTTTCATAATATTATATTTTTAAGTTGTATATATAACGTATGAATCCCTTCTCAGATTACTTTATCTCAGTTCTATATTACGTACTATTTTACTTTTCTGTGTCGTTCTTGTTTTCTCTTCAGTGTGAGGTTAAACTGTATCATTTTTACTATTTTGATATTTTGCAATATGTTGTGGTCATCAGTTATGCAAATCAGTTTCGGTGTGTCTTTTTAACAAGATGTTCTTCATTAATATTCACCGCCAGCCCCATTGTAACAATTACATGTACACTTTGCTTTGACGATGCCGGTTGATGTTGTTCAATACAGGTGTTTTTGAATCTATTCTACATGCTAATCATTTCGGGAAGATGATACACATTATCTATATTTTGGGTTACTTTGCTTATAAAGATTATACATGTAAACGTACGCAGTCTTAGTAGATTTTAAAGTAGATTTAATCAGTGCTGAATTAGATAGTTATGATGTTGTATGTTTAACAGAAACCTGGTTGCACCATGATATTCTAGCCCCTGGTTTTACACTGATACCATTTTCAAATGGTAGCCTGTATTAAGGAATATATTTT